ATATTATATATAATATATAAATAATTTATATTATACTCATTCGATCATAATATTATGATCGTTTTTTTTAATTTTATTTAAATGTGTTATAATTTTAAATATTTATCTTTTAGATTAAATTATTTTACTTATTTATCTTAAAATAAATCTTATCAAATATTCTTCTCTTCAATGATTGATCTATGTAATAACTTTTTTGTTGGATGTTAAGAAAATTTAATATTATCTTTTAAAAATTAATAAATAATAAGTTAGAGCTTTTAAACTCTCATCTATATGGTGGGAGTCAGGTTTATAAAGCAAGCTGTTGCATGATTAGAGATACGAAAAAATTTAAATAAAAAAATCTAATTTTAAATTATTTTGTCTGTTAGTTTAAAATTTATAAATAATAAATCATTTATTTAGTTCTGATACGTTTCCAATTAAGAAGAACCTATCGTCACCACAAGTGACTTAATTCGACACCAAATGAGCTAAAATCAAACATATATATTATATTTAAAAATGTTTGATTTTTTAACATAATTTTTTTTTTTTGAAGAATTACAAATTTGCATTAAGAACAAAGAAGAAAAAAACTATTACAAACTAATCAAAGAAATGCAGCCTTATATTCCTTCTTCAAAAGACTATATAATGAAAAAGGAATATCGGGAGAAGAAATAGAATCAAAACAAAAGTTATTATGTAAAGCAAGAGTTGCACACAAATATGCAACTTTATTACAATTTCTTGAGGTGTGATGGAAAATTATCATATTGAAGTCATGGAGGAAACTAATCTTCTCGGAAAACTAACCGGTAGCAGTGAACTTTACAACGGAATCATAAGATATTTGATAGCGTTGTAGTTATCACCCTCTATTATTAATCCTTTACAATCGAATTTCCAATCTTGAATGAAGTCCTTCAAAGCAAACACAGCTTCCAATTCAAGTTATTGATATCCCAATGAAATTTCTGCCTTCCAAAAGCAAGAAGTAAACTTCCTTTGGAATCTCGAGCCACTCCACCAATGCTAGCTAAATTTGAATCCAATAATGATGCATCAACGTTAATTTTGATCCAATCTAGAGGTGGGGGATGCCAAGAAGTTACGGACTCCCTAAGGAGATTAGCGTCTCAGTTAACTAGCAATGGATACTTTCTTATAGCAGTGAATAAAATGTTGGCAGCAATCACTGAAACAGGAATAGCTGGATTACTGTGCTTCTTATCATTCCTGCGATTCCAGGAGAAGTATACCGCTGTGCAGTAAATCTTGACAGTATCTAAACTGCCACTAGAAAGGCTTCTTAAATGCTGAAAACAATCCGTGAGAGAGCTAAACAATGGAATATTAAATCCCCAAGATCTCAGCTTGCATAAAATCTCAGTAAGAGATTTGCAATGAATTAGAATATGATCACAATTTTCAGTAACAGGACAACCATAAGCACAATGATTACTAATACTAAGCTTCCTTTGTTTCAAGAATTCGTTCGTTGGAATAGCAAACCTACTTAGTCTCTACCAGAAGAGCTCCACCCTCGGTTTGAGCTTCAACTTCCAAAGCCACTTGGCAAAACCAGAGTCTTCAAAAGTTTTATGATACTTAATAGCTTCAGAATAAGCCAACGAAGTGATATTTTGATCTCTAAACTCTGATATACTTATACTCAAATCGAGCGGCTCAACGTGATGAGTTGAAGGAGCACAGGAGCACCTGAATCTGATATCATTAAGGCCTTCAAATGTTTAATAAACGATGCATGATCGAAGTGCTCAATATGGATCCTACGATGGAGAGCATTAGATTCTGATCAAATTTATCAAAATGCTCTTCTCACAAAGCCTACAAATATGACATCATTTTCTATGATGGTGAAGGTTGAAGAGCTGAGTGAACTAAAAAATTCTTAGATATTTTTCCACAATCATTGCTGACTATAGCTGTCATCTTTTCTAGTTTTCTATAAAAATATAATCCTGTTGTTAAAATTCTGTAATCTTATTTTCCTCAATTATGAGGATGCCAAAGTTTTATTTTTATATCTCCTATTTATTTAGTGAATTTTCACAATTGAGCTAGATCATATAATTTATTCAATTTCTTGAATTTTCCACATTAAAAATCTCGGACCTCATCAAATTATCTGTGTGTTGAAATTTTACATAACGCTAAAAATTTTTTTTGGCACAATAACCTCCTAAGAATAAAAAATTGCTAAACACCGACTGTTTAATATAAATATATATATATATATATATATATATCTGAAAAAATATATATTTTATTTTATAAATATTAATATTAATAAAATTTTGATATCATTAAATATTTATATGTTAAATAAATAAATACAAAATAATTATATGTATTTGTATTATATTGCACTAAGCAAAATTAAAAAATACGGTTGCTTAATTAGTAATATGCTATGCTTGCTTATCAAATTAAAATATTTTAAAACACATTTTTAGTTAGAAAATGCGGTTGCTTAATGCTCTTATTATTCTTCTGCTACTCATTACAAGATTCTTCCTTGTACTATTTGACCTTTAGCTTCAGCCAACTAAATATATTTATTTTTAATGTAGGATAAAATACAGCAGAAGCTACGAAACGGCCGAGAAGAGTTATACTGCAAGCCGGGTGACAAATTTGCAGGAATAATTATCATTATTATATTAAAAAATAGCTAGCAAAGAATTTCCAAATGATCAAATTGCAAAAACAAGAAAAAAAATATTTTCTAAGTTTTTGCTAGTGTTATGTACTAAAGAATGCTAAGAATTTGTAATAAATTTGAGTGAAATTGTAAATCTACTGTATATTTCTTTGTAATTTATATTTTACCAACGAAAAATCAATAGAATATCGGCCGGTCAGAATATGATATTATCGTAGCAGTTAATGATGAAAATTTTATCGCAATAGTGTTAACCGATGGAGCTTCAGTTATAAGTGCGCAACTGCGCATGATGGATGATTTAAAAAAAAAAAAGATAATTTCTTAAGTTCATTTAAACTAAATAACTATCAATAAAAATTCAATATTCTTAGCAATATGTCTAGTCAAAATCAGAAAATGTTTAATCTATTGATTTCAAAAGGGAAAAAGAGATCAATTGATCTTTATCTGAGATATGAAATATTTATAACTAATTATGAATATATCACATTTACTTATTGTTTGGGACGGCTTTTTTACTGCTTCTTAAAATAATTTTTTGATATAAAATCACTACCAAAAAACATGCCCTATCGCATCATTTTTTTGCAGCGGTTTACAAACCGCTGCCAAAACCCCTTATTTTGCATCAGATTTGGAATACAATTGCATCTGTTAAAACCGGTGCAACTTGCACCGTTTAAAACTGCCGGCAAATCCAAGCAGCGGCTTTAAGATACCCGAAGCCCTAATTCCTCTCTTCGCTCTATGCTCGCGCGATCGGGAGCGAATCCGGAGAGCTGCGACCAAAATCTTCTCCTCTTGCGAATACCGGCCGGCCGGCCCTTCGATCCTCATCATTGTGAGTCTCTTCCCCTTCATCCTCTTCTTCTATTTTTCTTCTCATTCTTTTTCTTCATATTCTTCTCCCTTTTCTTCATATTCTTCATTTGCATTCCTTAGGATTTTGGGTAATCACAAATGTAGCTTAGCCGTTGGTTGTGTGCCGTGTACCCACATGTGCATATGCATATATATCTTTTTAGGGGTTGTGTGACTCCCAGAAGAAACTCATAAAATACTATCGAGAGGCATTACCATGTCTCAACATTACTTATTTTGAAACTTTATTATCTATTCATATGGTGAGCTGGTGAGGATAATTTTTGAGACATCATGAATTATGTTGAAGGATTTGGATAGATGTGTATCCTAGGGACTGAGCCTTAGTTTTGGTGTGGGAAGTTTGGGCGGATGTGACAATGTCCTCTTAGCATCGTTGTTCTTCAGGTAAGACAACTCTCTTTCTTTGTCAAATTGTAATCGTAATTCTTAATTCATCCATGATTGCACCAAAAAAAAAAAAAAAGGTTGGCCACCATTTTATAGTACAAATGTTAATGTCTATACAACAATTCTGAAAGCTCAATCTCCTTTATGACTTTGATAATCACTCACGCAATTAGAAAAAAGGGTTGCATTTGATCATAATTAAATTTATAATAATGAAAGTATTTTTCCTTTTTTTTTTAGTTTAGTTCATTTAATTGATTGTATACGAAATTAAAAAGAAGATTTGATTATATTCTACTCTCCTAACCAAATTTTCTGCACCTAAACCCTAAACACAAACAAAAAAAGTTAAACCAAACTAATTTTATCTGATTGATTTGGTTTGGTTGTTAATGTATTAGTTTAATTATTAGTTATAGTTTTAACTTTCTTTAGTTTTTGGTTATTAGTTAACTTTTTTACTTTTGTAAAACTAAAATTATATTATATTCATTTTATTATGTATTATAGTACACTATAAAAAAATCAACCCCTATAGTATTGTTTCTTTGCAGCGGTTTACTAATTGGGTAATATGTTCTTCTCAGAAATTGTTGGGAATTTATTTTATCATATTTGATGGATAAGAGTTGGATATCAAAACCTAAATGGAGTAGTGACTATGTTAAAGGTGTTGAGAATTTTTTAGAATTTGCAATTCCAAGTCAAAGTTCGGCACAAAAAATTCTATGTCCATGCAAATTATGTATTAATAGATATTTTCATTATGTAAAAGATGTAAAGTTGCATTTACTCTCCAAAGGATTTTTTTCCTGGATACATTGTTCGGAATCGACATGAAGAGGAACATGCTTTTGTAGCTGAAGTTACAATATCAGAAACATGTACTGATACTGGTAATGTTATTGAAGTACAAACTCAAGGTGAGCAGCCCAAAACAAATGATATAGAAGGATTATTAAGAGACACATTCTGTTCAGGGAATGCCAATGATGATGATGGATATAATAAAAATAACATAGATCTGACAAATGATGATGCGATGAAATATAAAGCATTAATTTTTAATTTTTTACTAAAAAATTGCTTTAAGAAGCAATAAGAAAGTTGTCCAAACAAAACCTTAATACCCCAAATCAAATCTAATACAATCTCAATATTATGCATAATCCACAACTATTTCCAACAATTATCATTATAGTTACAGCAATGGCAGATTCACACTTACAAATTACAATAATAATCTGGGGATGATAGCCCCCACATACCCACACATGGTAATACATTTTACTGACATAACATAGCTGAGGAAGTTTTTTATACAGAATGCTTTATAGGTTACATTCGATTTCATCATATTGTTCTTTATAAGATCTCATAGAAATTCATACTACAAATCACACCTTTATAAAATCCATAATAGAATTCATCGATTTGTGCTGAAATTTTAATGCAAAGAACTCTTTGAATGTGATGCCACGAAATATAGTAGAGCAATTAGATCTTTCAAGCAACTTTGGCGCAGGAGCAAAAGTAACATTTTCAATAGGAGGTGTTACCTGAGTCGCAACTGAAATCCTCGTGCTCTCGCTGCTAACCATGGCCCTATGCACTATGCTCTTATACCTCCCATTGCTAACAATCTGCTGCGATATACTAAAGTTAGAACATTCAAAACAGTTTTGGTAAATAAAGTAACGAAGCCTAGCTTCAAATAAGAATTAAAATGGCCCCTAACACTTTACGAAAGATCAATATGACATCATCTTATTTAAAAGTCACCAATTTACTTGACTTTTAAATAGGGACCTTACTGATCCCACGGAAGAACTCATTTGGTCTCTATTTAAAAAGTCAAATGTCTAAATTAGAACTTTTATATAATCGAAGATTATTTTGATTCTTCAGAAAAAGTTAGGGAATACCATTTACTCTTATTATCTTGCTCAAAATGTCTATAATAAAAAATGATTCTTTTTATCATATTTTTATAAGAATCATAATTAAAATTTGTAATTACAACATCAACAATCATACTTCTTTCAAAAATTTTACTATAATAACAAAAAATATGGCCAATAATTAATAATTGTTAGTAAAACAAATTATTTTTTTGAATTATGACTTTAAAGATCAATGACAATATCACTCTGACAGTAACTAAGCAACCCTCGGCTTATAGGAAATGAGTTTATGGGTACGAAATGCATACCTCTATAATATCTCCAGTAAGATAGAGTAAAGAGCGAGGAAGTAGTTGGATGACGATCCATTTGCCATTGTGAAGAACTTGGAGGCCATTGAAACCTTTGTTTTGCATAAGAAGAGTGACAAGGCAGGGATCAGAGTGAGGAGGTAACCCCAAGACCAGCTCTGGTTGTGGGCACGGAGGATAGAGATTTCCTACCAGAGTTTGACGGCTTGATTTTAATTCTAAAGACTCTTCCATGAAACTTACGTCCAGGTCAAGGCTTTCCCATATTGCTCTGAGTAGTTCATTGTAGATCTCTCTGGTCTTATGTGCATACTCGTCTGATATCGCTCTGTATATAAGATGAAAGCAAGTTTTGATGTTATGATACTCAATGGAAAAATAATATTAAAAAAAATGGAAAAATAATATTTCATTTAGTTGATTTTATTAGAAAATAATGTGATAAAGTATGATGAAATCCTCTGAATAAGGGGGCAGGAAATAGACTATTTGAGCTCCATGTTTTTTTTTTTTTCATTTGGAAATACAATAAGAGCTGTTGGTTGTGCAAACAACACCCTGGCCCCACCCAAGCCCTATAGCTCATCAAATAATTTCATAATGGGTAAGTTATAAATGAGCAACCTATATATTATGAAGCCTACAAATCAAATATAATGAACCACAATTTTTTTCATTTTAGCTTCTATTGATAGCTCTAAGAACACAATAACACATAGAAGACACGTCAACTTATTATGGTTATTTTCCAACTACTTACATGTACCTACCTACTTGTATTCTATAAATACCTCTGTATACTGTATTCGAACTATGAAATAAGATTCTTCTTTCCTCTTTGCGATGTTGTCTTCTTCTTTCTTGTGTTCAGGAGCTGCTTCTAATCAGTTCATTTCTACATGGCATCAGAGCGGGACAATCGATTCGCCAATGTTCATGGAATCATCGGAGACATTCTGGACCAAAGAACAGGAGAACTCTGCCTCTCTTGATGCTACAAGCATTCCATCCACTTTGAAATTTCTTGTTTCCAACCTCAAGAATCACGTTCCCACACAATTATCCACCGACAACTATCCTCTCTGGCAGTCGTAAATCATCAAGCTCTTCCGTGCTAATGGATTTGCTCAATTTCTTGACTCGACATCCCCGACTCCCCCAACTCTGCACCGTAAATCTGACGGCTCTACCTCCCCTAATCCCGCCTTTCATCATTGGCTTCTGCAAGATCATAATCTCGCAGCTGCCATCTATTCCACCATTTCATCATATGTTCTTCCCTACATCTTGAATCTTGATTCCACGTCCGCCATTTGGGCATCGTTGGAGCTTCGTTTTCAATCTACAAATCACTCCAAAGTTATCCAACTCAAGAATGAGCTTCATAACATTTCTATGAAAACCTCAACCAAGACTCAATACCTCACTGAAATCAAAACTCTAGTCGATCAAATTGATGTCATTGGTTCCACCGCCAACACATAAGATGTAATTCTCTATATCTTAAATGGTATGTTTCCTTCTTACCAAGCCTTCAAAACATCTATCAGAACTATGCTTAATCCGATCAGTCTCGACAATCTTTACGCCTTACTCCTCAGTGAGGAGATTAATCTTGCCATGGAAGCCTCCCGTCTCATCACTCCTCCAGATCATAACCTAGCTTTTTACTCATCCAAGAGTCGAGGCCGAAGGAGTTGTGGCCGCATTCCGCAAAATTCTGCAAACACAAATCGTTCTGTCTCAACCATCATCTGTCAAATCTGCAACAAGAAAGGACATTTGGCTTCGGCATGCTGGCATCATATGAACATGCAGTATGTTCCTCCCGCCAATCCTTCATCCACCAATGTTCTTATTTCCACGTCTCAACCACCTCTCACTGACTAGTATCTTGACTCCAGCTCCTCCTCTCACATAGCTAACTCTTTTGACAAGATGTCTATTTCAAATTCATATCAAGGATAAGACGCCATCACTATTGGTGACGGCCGAACTGTTCCTATCGCTCACACCAGTGAAGGCATATTACCAACACCGGCTCGTAAGCTGCACGTATCTAAACTTTTTCATCTACCTAACATTCATTATAATCTTCTTTATATTTCTCAACTAAAGAAAGACAATTAACATCTACATTATTTTTTATCCTCATGGTTTCACCTTCAAGGATATGAAGATTCATCAAATTCTTCTAAATGGTACATGTCGTGACGACCTCTACCCCATACAAGACTCTACCGCCAGCTAGCCTGCCTCGGCTCTTACTACTACCAATCTCACCTCCAGCACTTGGCACAATCGATTGGGTTATCCCCACAACACTGTTCTCACTACGATCTCCAAGAACAATCCAAACCTTCATATACATGTGTTTTCATCTCTTTGCATATCTTGTAAAGCCTTTAAAGGCAACATACTTGTATTTGAAAAATCTAATCATAGACAACAAAAACCCCTTGCATTAATTCATTCTGATGTTTGGGGACCGTCCCCGGTTGTTTCTTATCGAGGCTATAAGTATTATGTTATCTTTGTTGATGATTTTTCTCGATTTACCTGGATATTTCCTATGAGAAATAAAATTGATGTCGTCACAAATTTCATTTATTTTAAAACATTGATTGAGAAACAGCTCTCTCATCAAATCTTATGCCTACGTACGAATGGTGGCACCGAATACTTAAATCACAACTTGTCTAGCTTTCTACAAAATAATGGTATTCATTATCAGATCTCCTGTCCTTACACGTATGAACAAAAAGGGTTAGCATAACGCAAACATCACCACATACTGGATACTACTTGAACATTTTTTCATACGGCATCTGTTCTTTATACTCATTGGCCTGAAATAACCTCGCGGCTGTTTACCTTATAAACCGCATGTCGCCCAATAAAACTCACAATTCCTCTCCGTTTCAACTTCTCTTCAACACTCCTTTTTCTCACCTTCGCATGTTTGGATGTACATGTTTTTTGTTAACTCCCCCTAATCTAAGACACAAACTTAAACCAAAAGCAAAGTCTTGTGTATTTCTAGGATACTCGGATTCCTACAAAGGCTACAAGTGTTTTGATCCCACGACCAATAGGATTTATATCTCGTAGAATGTTATGTTTGCTGAACAATCCTTCCGCTTTCACAAACCAATTGACCAAAAGTCTCCTTCATCAACCTACACTACTCCCTCGTTCCTCACACCCACATCTGCCACACAACTCCCGTCCCACACTCATCAACACTCAGCTGAAATCATTGTTTCATCTTTCTACGGATCCAATCCCATACTTGACCAGCTCACCACCTCCCAATCCCCCACCGCCTCCTACTGCCACCTTAACTTCCATTCAAGTCCCTCAGCGCCACCCAATGGTCACTAGAACTCATACGGGCTCATTAAACCTCGCCAAAAATTTAACCTTATTCATCAGCAAAGCATTTCTACAATTCCATCTGAACCCACCTCATATACTGAGGCCTACAAACATCTTGAATGGCATCAAGCTATGACCAAAGAATTCTTTGCTCTTTAAAAACAAGGCACATGGAGCCTTGTGCCTTCACCTCCAAAAGCATCCATTCTTGGTTGCAAATGGACTTACAGAACAAAACACCATACCAACGGCTTTATAGCTCGACTGGTTGCCCAAGGCAACCATTAAGAATATGGCATCAACTACACTGAAATGTTTAGTCCAGTGGCCAAATTTCCCACAATCTATATACTTCTAACCATAGCTCTCAATCATGGTTGGCTGATTCAACAACTAGATGTTGAAAATGCCTTCTTACATGGGACTCTAATCGAAATTGTGTATATGACTCAACCCAAAGGGTTCGAGGACTCATCTCACCCGGACTACGTTTGTCGTCTTCATAAAGCTACATACGGCCTGAAACAGGACAATGGTACAACACGCTTACTTCATCTCTACTCTCACTCAGCTTCATTCATAGTAAATCTGATCCAAAGGGTTTGGGTTTTACAAGGGATAGGGCATGCTTAATGAATGTTTTCTCTTGGAGTCTTTTGGGGTCTTGGGCTCTAGACTTATTGTCTAGAGATTAGGAGAGAATGATCCTCCTCTCGAATTGACGATCAATTGTATCTTTGCTCAATCTTTTGCTTGTTTTGTTCTATATAATAAAATCTATTATTTTGAGTTGATTTCATTGATGTTCGTGTGTGTTTTCTCACTTATTTTACGAATTTATTGTTAGGGTTGATTGTGAACTAAAGTATTTCCGATAGGATTACTTCCGAACTCAAATATTTCCTATCAAATTGGTATAAAAGTAAGTCTTGGAACGATTAGGGAGCTGATTTTCTGAAATTTCAGCTGCAAAACTTCATCCAGAGAAAAGGATCCTTACTAATTTCTGAAGCAAAAATCAAATTTTTTTTTCATGGCGGCCAAGAAGGTAGACGCATTGGAAGAAAGATTTGAAGGAGAGATGAGCCAAATTGGAAGATCGAATATCATATGTGGAAGACAAGGTTTCTGATCTTCATGCAATGATGAAGAAGTTATTGTAGAATCAAATCCAAACGGCGGCAACGGAGGCCAAAGAACCGGCGGGAAAAACAATACATTTGGAATATCGCATGAGGGATGATGAAGTGGAAATCATGGAGGAACAGGGTGGGAGGTATGGTGGAAGGCATGGTTATAAGGGGCAAGATTCAATGGGTGTTGGTTGGGAAAGAAAAGAAGGGGAAAATGAAGAGGGTTTCATGTATGAACATAGGAGAGAAGATCAGGACACCTGGGAGAGTCCAAGCACTTGAGAAAGGGGAAACTATGGAGGAATAAGGATAAACGGGAGAGATCAAAAGGTAAGGAAGCTGAAGATGCCAATTTTCGAAGGGGAGGACGCCTACGGATGGATCTACAAAGTGGAAATGTACTTCACCTTGAATGGTTTGACATATGAAGAGAAACTGACAGCAGCAAGCCTATGCTTAGAGGGAAAGGCATTATCATGGTTCCAATAGAGAGACCAAAGAAGACCTATACGGAGCTGGAGAGCCTTCAAGGACTGTTTATTGGAACGTTTCCAAACCGATGGGGGATGGGACTTCTATGAATAGTTTTTCGCACTGGTGCAGGACGGATCAGTGGCGGATTATCGTGAGAAGTTCGAGCACCTGGCCGTCCGGTAGAGTGATTATGAGATATTGCATTAGAAGGAAACTTCATGAAGGGGATCAAGGCAGAGATCAGGGCGGCGATAAAAGTCATGATGCCTCGCCACTTGGAAGAGGCTATGAAGTTAGCCCAGCTGGTAGAAAATCAGAAGAATCTAGAGAGGGGAGCTAGGAC